GCACCCCTTTTTCTGTTTATTGCTACTGATGTGAGCAAGCACCCAACATTTGCTCTGGGACTCATCAGGCCTTCTCTGCACAACATCTCAAACTGAGAGCCAAAATGTTCTGAGAGGCATCTAGAAAGACATGGCAGTAACTTCTCAGAGACACACAGAGGTGTGACATGCAAATACATGACTTCAAAGCCAGATTTCAGTTTTTAGTTTTAGAGATAAAAAAATACATTGAAATTAGCAGAAAAAAGAGGGCTTCCAATGAAACAAAATGAAGTCACTCTTATTTGGGAAACTAAACACTGGGCACAAAAACACCTTTATTAGTTTGCTGTATGTAGTGAAATTCTTTTTGTTTGGGATTATATTTGAAGTTTTCCTAAACAGCATGTATGGTGCGTTGATCTATCGCAAGGCTGCAATTTTTGTTTCACATTAAAGTGAAGGATAGCATGTACTTCTAATCCTAGGACCTGAAAGATAGGAGTGTCCCCTACAGGTCTAAGCTGATCTGGAAGTGTTGTTTAGACAAGGACTACAGCAAGGGCTTGATTGAGAAAAAAATAAAAAAATAAAAACTTTAAAATATTAATTTATAGGCCATTATTGCCATCTGCTGGTTACATAGCTTAACTGCATTTTTCATAAAAAGCACAAACCTTACTGAGCACTTTATTCAGAATACCTAGGAAATGGAAATAACCTAAATGTCCTTCAGCTGAAGCCTAGGCTGTGAAAATGTGGTACATATACACTAAGAAATACTATTCATACATAAAAGAAAAATGATGTGTTGAAATTTTCACATACACAGATGGAAGTAGAAAAGATCCGAGGCTCCCAATGCCTAGATGTGAGTATACATCCCAGAGCAATTGCAAAGAAACAAGAAAGTAAAAGTGGGTATTGGTTGGTGGAGAAATAGAAAGGGAAATAGCAGGGTACAAGTGGTCTGATGGGGGAAATTGGAAAATAAAGAGAGCTTTGATTAGAGAGAGAGGAAATAAATATAGGAGAGAGGAGGGTAAAACAATAACAAGATATCAAAAAATGTCATCAGGAATCATACTATAACTATATACCTAAAATGCCTATAATTAATTTGGCATAAAAATAAGCATGCATAATTAAACTGAAAAAAATCATCTGGGCTGACAATGCTCTCTCCAACGGCCAACGGCCATCTAACAAGAATCCAAACACCAGGCATGAGCAAACCCTCTTTTGAGTTGTGGGCAGGGATGTCCAAGACAGTCCCAAAAGCAATAGATTATTATTGTTATTGCCCTTGGTTGTCTCCCAGAGATGGAAGATGTAAGTCCCTATTCCTGAAGGCACCATGCATTGCAGAGGCCCCAGACCTGGAAATGACCTGAATGCCTCCTGAAGACTAGACTTCATGGTACATAAGGTGCCGCGCAAGCTTCCGAAGGAGAGAAATGCTTACAGTCCTACCCAGCTATGGTGCCTTTGAACCACAACAATGAGCAGCATGGCAGGATAGCTTTACAGTAGTAGCACACACACCTTAATGGTAACCACCTTGTCTTTGATCAGATTTAAGACCTTCGGTACTGGAAGCCTAGCCGACTGCCCGGGACTAGTGAAATCAGGGATGCTGGAGGAGCTCACAACCACTACTTTACTAAATCAGCAAAACTCCTAACTGCATTCTAAATACTTGCCCTTTAACCCACAGAGAAGTGTACTCCTCACCCTCATCAGGGAAACTTGTCTTTGCAGCAGAGACCATTACAGAAAACCACAAGCAATCAAAATGCAGACTTGTGGAGCTTAGTCCCAAAGGATACATCTAAAAAACACCTCCCTGACCTATGGATCAGGAATCAGGGAAGAGGGAGCAGGAAGATTGTAAGAGCCAGAGGAACAGGAAATTTGCCATGAGAAGCTACACCCATGAACTATCACCAATATAACTGCCTCAACATGAGCTGAACAAGAACAATGACAATAGACATGGCAAACTGGACAGGAGAAAGCCCAACAGGCCTCAGTCCTACACAAAGAACTGTGGCCAACTAAGGAATGCAGAAAGCAGGAGAAACAGCCTTCCACATCAAAGAGCACAACAGTGCCAAACTGTCAGCCCTGAAAACCTACACACAAGTAACATTACATAGACTGGGCAGGTTGTAGTTAAGAATATATACATAAGCACATATATGTATATGTAAGTAACACAGATTAATGGAGAGGTCATGATTTTCTTTTATTTTAATTGCTTATTTTTGTGTCCTGTCTCTTGGGACTGGAGTTAGAGATGGGTGCCGGCCATCATGTGGTTCCTGGGAACTGGACCCAGGTCCTCTGCAAGAATAGCAGATGCTCTTAAATTTCTAAGCCATATTTCTACCTCCTTGGTCTCCACACAGTGAGGCCATGCATTTCAAAGAGAGCAAAGATGGGGAATTGGGAGGGTTTGGAGGGAGGAAAGAGAAGGCAGAAATGTGAGTATAATTTTACAAAACATTTAAAATTGATTTAACCACATAAGGAGGGGCACAGACAAGTTTTAGATATATAGCGAGATAAGGCATATTTATGTGAGAGATTATCTTCCAAAACATGGGTGTGGTGTTTGAATGATAACACCCCATAGGCTCATATGTTTGATTGTTTGTTTTCCAGTTGGTAGCATTGTTTGGGAAGGCTTAGGAAGTGTGGGTTGTTGGAGAAGGTATGTTCCTGGGGTCTGGGCTTTGAGATTTCAAAAGCCTATGCCATGTCAGTTGACTTTATCTCTGCCTTGTGGTTATTTTCTCAATGTGTGGGTGCTCAGCTACAGTCCCAGTGGATGGCTGCTGCCGTGCTCTCCCCACCATGATGGTCAAGACTCCACTCTGTGAACCATACTCTCTTGAACCATGAACCTCAAATTAAATACACTTTTATAAGTTGCCTTCCTCATAGTGTTTTGTTAAGGCGGTAGAAAAGTAAGTAAGATAGACGTTGGTACCCAGGAGTGCTGTGTTGCTCTGACAGGCAGAGCATGCTGGTGTTTGGAGATATGTGGAGTATTTGGGATTTTGAACTAAGAAGCAGTTAAATTCTGGGAATTGGGTTTAGCAGGCTGTCCTAGTAGGAGCTTGGAAGACAGTGGCGCTGTTTACAGTGTGAACTGTGGAGGCTTAGTTCAAGAGGTTTCAGAGACGAACAGCATTAGCATCTTGGTTGCTAAAGTCTATTTGTGTGATATTTTGGCAAAGAATGTGGCCGATTTTCTCCCTTGTTCTAAAAATTTGCCTAGGCTAAACTGAAGAGTTTTGGACTAATTTCAGGACAGTTCTTTTTGCAAGGCTCACTACTCAGGTGACAAGTTGACATTAAAGCACAAGATAATAACTGAATATTGAACTGGATTCACATCAGGCTTATTTTTCTTTTAGCAAAATAGAAAATAGCATCCTATTTCTTATTAGTACTAATATTCACTCAAAAAATGAATTAATGGCCTCGATACTGCATGACATGGGCAATCCTATAACTTAGTGCTTGATGTTGAAGCTATTTGTAATTTTTCATTGACAATAAATAATAGCGCAATGAATATCCATATGAAATTATTTTTAAAGAGTGAAAGGAGCTAAATTTTATTTTCAAGAGATGGGCCATAGGTAAGAACATTATACAGGCGATTGGAAAGACACCACAGAGGAAAGTTAACAAAATGGAAGAGGTAATCCCCACACTGCCTTTACTGCTGCGACACGCTAAAATCTCACACTAAAAATAAGATCTTATTGACTTTGTGTGTTCTTTCAAGAATAGATTTTTGCTAGCTAATTATGTTGGCAAAACTTTAATCCCAGGATTAGGGAGGCTGAAAAGGAAATTCAAGACCAATCTAGGCTACACAGTAAAGATGTTGTCTCAAATATACATATTGTGTGTGTGTGTGTGTGTGTTTGCCAAACACCAATACCTTGCATTTTTAGACTAGAAGTGGGCAGACAAAATCTACGACTTGTTAAATTGTAAGCAAAGTATTATATTCCTGTTCTTCTGTTTTCTGTGCACTGAGTAATAAACCATCTTAAGCGACAAACAGTGCCAGGAATGCTGAAATGCCTCTTGAGGGAAAAAAAAAAATCTTATGAAACAACAAATTAATAGCAACAGCACTGAATTGTTTCGAATGTGTTGGATTTAGAGTAGTGAACAGATGAATAGAACCACCAATGAGCACTGTAGATCTTAAATGGCGGCATAAATTAATGTGGACTAGAGAAAGGTTTACAAGACAGAATTCAAATGGGCTGGAAAAAACAGGATGGCGAGAGAGAGAGAGAGAGAGAGAGAGAGAGAGAGAGAGAGAAGAGCAGAGCTACGGGTTCTCCAGGTGTGGACCTCACTTGCAACCACGGGAAGAGCTGTGTCCAGAGAAATGGAAATTAGAGTCGAAAAGGTAGGTTGGGAAATACTACTGACGGTACTGACGGCATTACCGAACGTGCTTCATTGACTCAATGAAGTCCTAAGGTGTATGGAGGTGAAGACTACAGCCAAACAGACTGCCATGAGACCCAGAACGGTGGTCTCTGTAGTCCTCCATGGGGACTCTGAGGCCAGGACTGCCTTTCTTTGGTTCAGGGAGGCTTCTAGTTTAGGGAGGTGTTGAACGCGTTGAGACCCACCCTTCTCCCGGTCAGGAGCTGAGCAGCCACTTTGTTGGAACCGAGAGCATTAAAGAATGAGCTACTGAGCTCTGCCCTAGCAGCAGAAAACCCGGTGAAGCCCAACGCCCAGGCCCTGGGGCAGGCTACACCGCCTGCAAGTCCTGCTCGCGCGCGCGCGGGGGTTGCACGTGAATAGCGCAAGGCTGCCTGGACCCTCCTGGTCTCACGGTCGCCATGACGACGAGGCTGCCGGCAACGGCGGCGGGGGCTGGTCGTTGAGGCTGCTAGGTGAGTCCGGCCCCCGGACCTCGCCCTGCGGTGAGCCAGCTCCATCCGTCCATCCACCTGAACGCGGACTATGAGAAGATGGTGGGACCGACGAGGAGTAAGCTCAGGGAAGCGAGCCCCAACCCGCCGCAGTCCTCCCGCTCGGTGCAGACGAGGCGGAGGCAGGGCGCAGGGACGGCGGAGCCCCCGCCGGAGCGCGCTGCGCCGCAGGAGAGGCCCAAGAGGTCGCTGTTGCCGCCTTTCTCCCTTAGCAACAGGAGGAGCCAGCCCGGGGGCGCCCGTAACAACTCGCCGCGGAGGATCCGAAATATGAACGCGCAAAATTACTTTCATCTGGAAGAGGCCATCAAGCTCCTCCTTTCAGGCCGCTTCCAATTCCTCCACACTCTCCTGGACCACTTCCGCGAAAAGGTGCAGGCGCTGCAGATTCACCGCTTCTCCTACAGGACCCTCTTTGGCGTAGGTGAGCAGAGCCTGCTCGGAGTACTCCAGCCCGGGACAGGCAGCATGTTGCTCTCAGCCTAGAGACCTAGGGTTTGCTTGGGTGTTGGAAATCTGGTCCTCCAGTGCTTCGGCAAGAGCTGGTGCAGAGACCTGAGAATCGCGTGCCAGGAATTCTCAGCCATCCGGTTCCTGTTTTAAACTACCTTTGTGGGATATCCCCCCCCCCACCCCCCGACTTTAGTGGTCATCTGCATGTCAGCAAAAAAGTTATCCGAATCAGAGCAGCCAGTTAACACAAGTGTGTAGAAGTGTCTTCCGGACAAAGCCGTGTTTCTTTGTATTTTAAATAAAAAGTTTCTTAGCTGAGCTCACTGATCGTGGAGGAAGCAGGGGCGTAGACAGTGTTTGATCCCCGCTGATGCGCTCCCGCTTGCGTCCTGCTGAGCTTTAATGCCCAGGATGTTTCTGTGTAAGCACTTCCCCCGTTTATACCGCTAATTTTCTGTGGTTTATGAGGCAACTTCAGTGTTGCTGCTGTTTGCTGCTTGAGCGGAGAGCACAGCTGCTGATATAAACTGAGTCACAAACACCTCAGTTTTACTACCTCCTCCTCCCGCCATGGACTACTTGGCTGCTGATGTAAAAGTAAGATGAGTTGCTTCACTGAAGTGTTAATAACAGTAATTAAGGAGCAATTGAAATTCATATTTGGATTTCCGTCCGGTGTTGATGCCCCAGCAGGTCCATGCCACATCCACAATCAACAAGGGGTGCTTTCCCAAGTCCAAGCTCCAGTGTACTGACATGGGGCACATGGGAGTTAACCTCTGAGTGGCTAGTGAAATAATGGCTGGCTTTCATGACTGTATGAGAGTTCGGGAGACAGTTAATAAAAGGATGCTATATCAGAGAGGACTTTCAGAAAATGACGGAACCCAAGTTTCAGCAAAGAGCTAATATTCGGATGTGTGAGGCTGAGAATGTGTGTGTGTGTGTGTGTGTGTGTGAGAGAGAGAGAGAGAGAGAGAGAGAGAGAGAGAGAGAGGCTGACAGATTGGCAGGATCCAAAGTCCTAACAGTAAGACACCATGGTATGAAAACAAAATTGAGATGAAAGGAGGAGGCTCTTGGGAGCAGCCTCACAGAGTCCAACTCAGTTTTGGTTGTGAGCATTTGAATTCTTTCTGTGTGAAGGAACAGATTCTTTTCTTTCTTTTTAAAGTACTTTTACATTTTTATTTTTGGATTTTAATAGAATCACATCATTTCTCCCCTCCCTTTTATCTCCACTAACCCTCTCATGCTTCCCCCTTGCTCTCCTCCAAATTCATGATCTCTTTCTCTTTAGATGTTGTTAAATGCACACACACACACACACACACACACTCCTGAGTACATAAATACAGCCATCTCAGTTCGTATAATGTTACTTGTATGTATGTTTTCAGAGATGACCATTTGCTACTAAATAACCAGTTGGTGTGCTGTTCCCTGGAAAGGCTTCTTCGAAACTTCATGAAATATTATAACAAAGTGTTGACTTTACATATAAATAATGTTATATATATATTTAAAACATGGATTGTTCATGTTAAAGAGAACAGTCCATGGCATTTGGTCACTGCGTGATGTTGTTAATGAGTGGCTTTTATTTTTTTTTTTAACCTTGGAAAGCTGCTTGATCAGAATGTGCTTTTGAGATTATGTAGGTTGCAGTGTGTGCTGTGGACTGGAAATGGACTGAGAAATAGTCGGAAAATTCTTACTAGGACCAGGCCACAATGGTCTAAATGATAGCAGCAGCAGTAGGGATGGAGAGAAGAGGCTGATAGAGAAGGTAGCTTATGAGATTGAAGAGGATGCAGAAGGGGCAGGAAGATAACGAAGCCAATGATTTGGGCATTGTCCACATTTAGGTGAAAATTGAAGCATTAGATCATAAGGCGATAGCCAAGGCGAACACCAATAAACAGAAGGGAAAAGGGAAGACTAAAGATATTTGTGGAAAACTTTTAAGATTAACTTTAATAGACAAGTGGGAAAGAAACACTGAGACGTATAGAAATACATATCTTTTGTGGGATGTGTTGCAGGAGGAGGATGAGGGATAGGAACAATTTTTGTGGACCCTATTTGGAAAGATAGGTGGATCGATCCCATAGTTGACCTTTTATATTTGTGTGTGTGCGTGTGTGTGTTGGAGGTGTGTGTGCACCCTACTGCCCACACATACAAAACCCAGGGCAGGATGTTGGGCTGTGTTGTTCAGTCACTCTACCATGCTTGCTTGAGATAAGTTCTCCTGTTGAAATGTAAGCTCACATTCAGTCTAGGTTGGCTGGCCAGTGACCTCTCAGAATCTGCTTGTCATCACCATGGTTTACATAATATGTAGCCATGCCTGGCTTTATCACATGGGTCCTGGGGATTTGAACTTAGGTCCTCATGCTTACAGAGCAAGCTTTCTTACCCCTCTGAAGCAATCTCCTTCATCTTTTTATTTTAAAAATGTAATTTTAAATATTTTCAGTATATATCATTAACGGGAGACTGGAAAAGAAGAAAAAATGCAGTTGATTAGAAGAGTCTCTGTCATTGTTAAGCAAACTATCACAGGACATGGTTTTTTTTTTCGGTTGAAGGTTATAATTTTTTTTCAAAGTGGTACAGAGAACATTTGCATTTTTGTGCTGTGAGGGACTGTACAGTCTTGACTGAATCATTGTTTTTATAACCTTTTGAAAATATAAAGAACATTTTTAGTTTGAGGATGATATAAAAGCAGGCCATGGATTACAGTTTGGCCATTCTGATATAACATAAGCAAATATGAAAAGAATTTAAGATTAGTCCAGCATGGCCTTGTTATATAGGCAAAGAGGAATATGGTTGGGGATTTCAACATGACAACTTTATGTTGCCTCATTGAATTATTTTGCATTTACTCTGCTAGCCAAGGTGAGTAGTTTTAAAATTATTTTTAGGAAGTTAATGTTGGTGGCTTATTGAGGTATCTTGCCAAGCATTTGCGGGACAGCCATGGAAATGCTACCACAATGTCTCTGTGGGCCTTCTGCAGTAGTTGAGTGAGTTGGGAAATTATCAAAGTCAACTTTTTCAAAACTTTGGAAATTAGTGAAAGCTTTTGTGATGAAAGAGCATTCATTCAGGGAGAGCCAATGGGTCTCTTTAAGAAGCAGGACTCTGTAGCATTTAACTTGATCTGCTCCCAGCCACCATTGCCATCCTTGTTCTCAGCTGCATGATGTCCTTGAGAACAAGCAACTTCCTGGTCACTATGGTTATAGTTCTACAGGAAGCTGCATACCCAGAACGGTGTAGAACTGGACCTGTTCCTCATTCGTGGTGAGCCTCATGCATGGGACTCATGCTGGCCCTTGTAGGTGCTTAGATCCAGGTGCTCATCAGGACCTGGCAATTCTTCAGGGCCTGAATAACACAGCTCAGGATGCAAGTACGTGGCTGAACAAGTGCTTTCCTGCACTTGACTGTATTCTGATGAGTGCAAGGGACAGTATTCTAGGCTGGCTTCCGTGGGTAAGAGTCCTTTCTGAAAGAATCTTTCCTGGGCATACTGCATATGCTTTAAAGCATTTTATATAAAGGTAAGTGAGAAGAAGAAACAACAGAGAATCATACTGAAAAATTACAGGAAATGGGTCAGGCCACCCGCCGCTTCACTCTCCCAAATGCTCTAAGAGGGATATGGAAGGCTTCAGGTCCTTCCTACCTGCAGGGGTGCATGGTTCAGTTTGCTCCACATCCTTCTGTGCTGTTTTCCTGGCCCACGTAGACAGAAGCAGTTGGCCGTACCGCTCAGTGAGCTCTTACCCTAGGCTTGCGGTGCATTTGAAGTGCTTATTTTAAAGGCATTTAATCACAAAGCAGTTTTTAATTATTTCTTTTTTTTTTCTTTTCTTTTTTCCAGCTGCCTTTGTGGGGATTTTGCACTGGTAAGATATTTTGTCTCGGCTTGAATTACATAGAAATATGTGGGTTAACTTTTGCCACTGCTACTTGTAAGTAGGGAAACAACACCCCCTGGCTGTGTTGTTAAAACAGCACCATCTGTGCCACCTTGCGCCTAGGCATTGCTTTTGTAAAAAGTACACCTGCACAGCTGCTTACAGTGCAGATGCCCCTGGGGGATAGCAATGTACGAATTAAACCATTTTTTTTAAGGTTAAAATATATTTTACGTGTATAGGCGTTCTGTCTGCATGTATGTTTGTGCGTCACGTGTACACTCATGGAGGTCATCTGAGGGCATCAGAGTCCCCTGGAGCTAGAGTTTGAAGCAGTAGTGAGCTGCCACATGGATGTTGGGTCATCATAACTGCCAGCCCATCCCCCGAGCCCCACAAAGGAAACCATTTCTGCTTTACCGAAGACACTCGCTACTGTGTTTCTTTTAGAAACTCCCATTCCCACAGGGTTCTCAGTTTCTCCCACCTAAAGCCTTCATTATCCACACGTTATTGTTGAGCTGAGTTTAGAGGTAAGAGCTTAGAAATGCCCACACCCTAAAACACAGAGAAGAAGACAAAGTTTACCTTTTCTCTGAACTGGAAATAGTGCTGCACTCTGTCATTCCAGCACATGGAGGCCGAGGTGGAAGGATTGTGAGTTTGAGGCCGGCCAGGGCTGCCTAGTGAGACCCTGCCCCGAGATGAGCAAACGCATTTCTGCAGTGGTCCACCAGAAATGCTTCGAGGCTGGCGCTGGCACTCTACTCTATAAGAAGCTGATTTTAAAAATCCTGTGTAAGTCATACTTACATCTGGAATACCTGCATTGCGACCTGGGCTCAGGTTCTGTACCTGTAGGAAGTTCAGGGTCCACCTTGTTTCCTGGGTGGTGTTGCTCCGCCATCTCATCTGTGTGGCAATTTTGACGTGGACACTGAGGACCAGGAGGAGCCATTTCTTCACACTGTTGGTTCTCTGGCAAAGGACCTGCATGTAAATTCAGGAGAGAAAGGATATTGACATATGGACTTGTGGTTTTAACATTGTTGGAAAGTGTTTATAAAGTGAGGGTAGCACATTTCCTGACCATGATTAATTTTATCACAGGTGCCCGTTTGTTACCAGCAATAGCTGCTGCGTTTCACTGCTAATATACCTTCAAGTACAGTCCTGTGCGAAACTTAAAAAGTCATTTTCTAAAATACGGACTTACACTTCATTTAAAATTACCTTATTCAAAAGTGATTTTATTTAAATTATATTTGAAATGCTTTTTTATTTTTATTTTTTTAATATTAATCACAGGTTATTTACTTTGTATCCCAGCTGTAGCCTCCTCCCTCATTCCCGACCAATCCTACCCATCCTCCCTCATCTCCTCCCTGTCCCTTTCCAAGTCCACTGCTAGGGGAGGTCCTCCTCCCCTTTTATCTGGCTCTAGCTTATCAGGTATCTTCAGGACTGGCTGCCATGTCCTCCTCTGTGGTCTAGCAAGGCTGTTCCTCCCTTGGATTGGGGGATGAGGTAAAGGAGCCAGTCCTTGAGTTCATGTCAGAAATAGTTCCTGTTTCCCTTACTAGGGAAACCCACTTGGATACTGAGTTCCATGGGCTACATCCGAGCAGGGGTTCTAGGTTGTATCCATACATGGTCCTTGGTTGGAGAAACAGTCTCATAGAGGACCCCCGTGCCCTGATATATTTTGTCCATGTGGAGCTCCTGTCCTCTCCCGGTCATACTAACTCCCCCTTTTATCATATGATTCCCTGCACTCTACCGAAGGTTTGGTTATGAGTCTCAGCATCTGCTTTGATACGCTGCTAGGTAGAGTCTTTTAGAGGCCCTCTGTAGTAGGCTCCTGTCCTGTTTCTTGTTTTCTCCTACTTCCCATGTCCATCCAAAGCATTTGTCTTTGAAATGCTTTTTAATAGTTTCAAAAGTACTTCCCAAACCTGGCTTATACTGGAACCACTCCTGCAACATGACAAAACACACAGCCCTTCTTGTGTTCTTGAGGAAGATGGAACACAGGGTGCCACAGGAATTTCAGATATGCAACTACATGCAAAAACGAAGTTAAACAATTTGGAGGGTATGCTATGCTGAATAATAAATGCTAAAAACCTACAAGTTCATAAGTAAATTGTGAAATCATGTCAACATTTATTATAAAACTTGTTTTCATTTTTATGGCTTTCTGAATTCTGAAACTGTTTTAGTGTTGGTCTTGAAGCCTATTCTTATACTATCTTTATTTTCCCCTTAGGATACACTTAGTAACACTTTTTGAAAATGACCGTCATTTTTCTCACCTCTCATCTTTAGAACGGGAGATGACGTTTCGCACGGAAATGGTTAAGTTCTTTCTTCTAATTAATTTGTACTTTAAGAATAGTGGAACAGCACGGTAGAAATTTATCAGGAACTGAAATGAATTTTGGGTGAATTTCATTGTTTTTATGCCCTTCCTGTGTGAGTTTGTCAGTACACTATAAACTTTGGCCACTGTTTTTTTTTTTTCATTTTTACCCAACAATCCTCTTGAAATATTTAAGTTCAGGGGCTGAATATATTATCAGTGTTTGCATAGCCCTTGAATACTTCAAAGGTCTTATTTCCAAGCATGGCACATAAGCTACTATAAAATAAAAAGCATAGCTGTGGCAATATGGGCTTTGGTGACAGGCACTCACTGGATGCAAACAGCAGCTGTGTGCTTGATTTCTGGCTCTTGACTCTCAGTCACCTACCCACTACACAGAAATCAAGTCAGACTTACAGGGCTGTGGTGAGAATGACGAGAGAAGTTACTGGAAGCACACATGTAGCGTCTGGCATAACAATAGCTTATTATCAACAAAAATATTTTTATATTGTTTCCCTAAATATAGACATTTGTATGTTAGGCATCTTTTAGTTGTCGTATTGCTGTGCTGTCTTTGTGAACTGAAAGAAAAACTAAAGCTCGTGGGAAAACTAACAGCTCATTGGAAAGAAGCCTGAACTCAGAAGCCCCAGGTGTTGTTTAACATACCAACACTAAAGCAGTCACAGGAAGCGGGAAGGAATGTAGAATTTCTAGGCCATCTTTGTTTGATATCTCTGCAAGGCCTGCTCTTTTCTCAAGGGAACCAGAGCAATGGATCTGGGGAGTGGGAAAGGGGACTGGGAGAAGTGGGGGAAGAGGAGGATGTGGCTGGGATGTACTGTACAAGAGAAGAATAAATAAATCAAAGAAGAGGGTGTGGTGGTGGTACACGCCTTTAGTCTCAGCACTCGGGAGGCAGAGGCAGGTGGATCTTTGAGTTTGAGGCCAGCCTGCTCTACATAGTGAGTTCCAGCATAGTCAAAGCTATGTAGTGCTATCTCAAAAGCAATTAAAAAAAAAACTTTAAAAAAATAAATAAATCAAAGAAAGATTATTTTGAATTTTTTTTTGAAGAATAGAACATTTGCTTTGCTTTTAGAAAATCATGCCACTTAAAAAAATTGAAAACAGCAAATCTATAATGAAAATAAAATAACATAGTATATAGTCCCTATAACTCTTGAGTTTTAAGTTGAAAGGCTCCTAGTGGTCTAAGGAGCCTATTGTTCCAGCCTATTGTTCCCTGTGCTGGAATTACCATGCCAGGGTGATCTCTTTACAACACAGCTTTTGTGAGCATCAGAACTCAGTTCAGACACCAGGTACAGTTATGAAGTAGGCTGGACCAATTGCTAGATGCTGATGTACCTGTGTGTTACATGTTAATAGAGCAGGTATTCTTTTCCTAACGCATGTCTGTACTGCCACTTGAAGACAACCCCATTTTCTGGTAGTATTTATTATATGCCAACCTCTAAGCACATGGGAGAAAAATTAGATTTGGTCAAGGTAAAAATGCATGACTTAATACACGATTTAAAGCACTGTCTGTGCTACATAAGACCATCCATCTAGTCTGAATATGTCAGACCTTCAGAAAACTGGAAAGAATAGCAGAGGGGAGCCTGAAGACACACACTTTTTAGTCTGAGAATGTTAGTGAAGAGTCATTAGAAAGTCTTCTTAATGACCTTTTCTTGTTTGTTTGTTTGTTTGTTTTAACAGAAGAAAGATGTTTAAAAAAAAGAGTAAAAACAATTTAAGATTTTATTGACATTGACAGTGTGTATCTTTCTTAAAAGGGACTGTATTATTCATACTTCAAGACCATCATCGAAGCCCCTTCATTTTTGGAAGGACTATGGATGATCATGAATGACAGACTAACTGAATATCCCCTGGTAATCAATACAGTGAAACGCTTCCATCTTTATCCAGAGGTGAGTAGTCTTTAGAAACAAATACTAGCAGACCATTATGAAATAAAACTGACAAACATAGGACATCAGAGGGGTAAATATAAGCGACAATGTTTTAGGCTTGTTAATTGTAGAGGTTTTTAAAACTTAACCACACCATAAAATATTCCTCTTTTAAAATTCAGCCTATTGGATCTCCTTGCATGATCTCAGAGGTAAACCTTAGTGTGGAAGTGATAACCGTGGCAACAGATGGGATAACTGGGACAAGGTCTCTGCTTGAGGCCATGCGGTTAGGTGTGAAGACCATTTGATGGGGCAGGGAGAGTGGGAGCAGGTTAATGTCCAGGAGTTACACTGGCCAAAGTAAGATTTACTTGGCCACATGGCTAGAAACCCATGATTGTTTTTTTTAAGCTTTAGTCTTACAAAGTACGGTTTTTAATGGGAGTCTAGAAGTTTGAGAAACAACAAAAAATATTAGGGAGCTTCATTTGTGAATTCTTTTTTTTATTGAAAATAAATTTTTGATACAATATATTCTGATCACTGTTTCCCTTTTCCCAAATTCTCCTAGACCCTCCCAGCCTACCCATCTCCATTCCTTCTTTCTCTCTGAAAAAGAAATAAAAAAGCAAGTAAACCAGCATAAAAAATAACAAGAAAGCACCAAAACCACAAACAAACAAAACCTATAAAGATATAAGATTGGAAGTCATAATCTATAAGCAAAAGATCATTAAGGCAAACAAACAGACAAACAAACAAACAAAAAAACTGCCCATACAAAGTAAAATGAGACAGAAAGCCTCCCAAAAAACCCACTGTTTATTTTATGTTGGCTATCTTCTTGGGTATGGGAACTACCCTTAAGTGTGGTCAATATTCTTAGTAAGACTCAAAGGAAACTAATTTTTTCCTTTGCAAAGGGATGCCAATTGGAGACAACTTCTTGATTAAGAGTAAGAGCTGGTGTCCAATTCTCATTCGCAGCACTGGGACCCTGTCTAACTTAAACCTCTGCAGGGTCTGTCCAGTTAAAGAATTGTTGGCTAGTGGCAAGCTACAGACAACACTGCTGCACCCTTAGGGATATTGTGCCGTGCAAGTCTTGATGTGGTTAATAGCGTCACAGGTAGGTAGGACTGTTGGTCGCTTCTCTCCTTCGTAAGCTTGCACTGCAACTTTTGGTACCATGAAAGTAAGTCCTCAGAGAGAAGAAATTCAGGTCAGTTCCAGTTCGGAGGCCCAGGATCCTGCATGAAAGGCAGGGTGTCTTGAGAAATAGGGCCACCAAGGGCAATAGTGATACCTTGTATGGTTTGGGAGTCTCTTGGACAACACTGACCAGCAACTCAAAATGTTAGAGTTGACTGGCCGTATAGAGGGTATTTGAAGTGCTACCCTCTCTTTCCTTTTGTAAAAATGGTTTAGGGAAACTGGCCAGGGTAGCACACACCTTTAGTCACATCACTCAGGGATGCAGAGGCAGGCTGACTGCCGTGAGTTTGAGAGCAGCCTAGTCTTCAGAGAGTCCTGTACAGGCAAGGCTACACACAGAAACTCTGGCTTTAAAGATAGATAGATAGACAGACAGACAGACAGATAGATAGGATATGATAGATAAATGGAAGGAAGGATTAGCTTTGGATCTTCTCTGAAAATCTGGTAGAATTCTGATTATTCTGGCCTTGGAATTTTTTTCTTTAAGCTAGAAGCTTTTTATTAGTATTTCTATCTCCTCATTTGTTAGGGGTCTGTTTATGTTGTTGACTTCTTAGTTTAATTTTAGTTGCTTGGCTGAATCTAGAAATTCAAGCTTCATGAAGTACTGGTTTTAAAACTGTTCCCTTTGTAATATTCTGAGTTTTTTGTTATTTTGTAATGTTTCCCTGTTCATTTTAGATTGTGTTAATTTGGGTGCTCTCTTCTTCTTTGGTGGGCCACGGCCAAGGTTCTGTCAGGCTTTCTTTTCTTTCTTGCTTTTTTGATTTGTTTCCTGTTTTTTGTTTGTTTGTTTTTTGTTTTTGAGAGAGAGTTGTCCTGGACCTCACTTTGTAGACCATACTGGCCTTGAATTACAGAGATCCCTCCACCTTTGACTTCTGAGTGCTGGGATTAAAGAAATGTGTGCCACACACCTGTCTCACATTCTTTTTTATCTTCTCAGCCACCTCTGAGAGTAACTGATTCTTGATAGTTATTGATTTCTTTGCTTCTATTTTATTGATTTCTGCTTGAACAGTTATTATTCTTGCCACTTACTGGGTTTAGATTCCATTTGTTATTATTTTTCCACTTTTTAAATTGCATCATTAAATCAATTATTTTGTTTTTATTGTGTGTGTGTGTGTGTGTGTGAGAGAGAGAGAGAAAGAGATTTGTTTTCACAAAGCCTTGTAAAACTTTAATTTCCCTTTTAGACCTTTTAATTTCTTTCCTCTTTGACCCATTCATCACTCAGTAATGAGTTGCTTAATCTCCATGAGTTTGTGTCTTCACTAGAGATTAGTTCAGAGATACTTTTACATTTATTGCATTGTAGTTAGATAGGACACAATTATTTTAATCTTTAAATTTTTAAAGATTTGTTGTTGTGGTTTGTTTGTTTTTTTAAATCTATCCTCTGGTTCTTGGCCTTCCAAGCAGTGTCAGGTGTCAGCTACCTCTCATGGCATGGGTTTCAAGTTGGAACAGTCACTGGTTGGCCAATTTCACAAATTCTGTGCCATCTTTACCACAGCACATCATGCAAGCAGCTAAATTGTATGTCAAAGGTTTTGTGGCTAGTTTGGTGTTTCAGCCCCTCCACTGGAAGCCTTGCCTAGTGGCAAATTTCATGATGTCATTTTCCTAACAGCTGCATAATATTCCATTGTATGAATGTACCACATTTTCTTTATTCACTTATTGACTGAGGATCATCTACTTTGTTTCTAGTTTATAGCTATTGTAAATAAAGCTGTTGTAAACATAGTTGAACAAGTGTCCTTGTGATAGGATGGAGTATCCCTTGGGTATATGCCCAGGAATACTATATATGGGTCTTGAGGTAGATTTCTAATTTTCTAAGAAACTGATTTCCAAAGTAGTTGTACAAGTTTGCATTCCCATCAACAATAGAGGATTGTTTCCCTTGCTCCACATCCTTGCTAGTGTGAGTTGTCACTTGTGTTTTGATCTTAACCATTCTGACTGGTGTAAGATGTAATCTCAGGGTCACTTTTATTTGTATTTCACTGATGGCTAAGGGTGTTGAACATTTCTTTAAGAGTTTCTTGGCTTTTTGAGATTCCTCTGTTGGGACTTCTGTTTAGATTTGTACCTCATTATTTTTCATTTTTAAAATTTTATTTAATCACTTTACAGTATGATATCAGCCCCCTCCTTTCTCTCCTCCCATTCCCATTTTCACACACCCCTCCCCCATTTCCCCTTTCCTTCTTCTCAGAGAAGGGGAGGCCTCAAAGGGCCACCAACCTACCCTGGCACCTCAAGTTGCAGTAGGACTAAGTGCATCTTCTCCCACTGAGGCCTGATAAGGCAGCAAGCTGGGGAAAAAGGATCCAGAGGCAGGCAACAGAGTACAGACAGCCCCTACTTCCATTGTTAGGGGACTCACATGTTGTCTAAGCTGCACATCTGCTACAAATGTATAGGGGGTCTAGGTCCAGTCCAAGAATGTCCTTTGGTTGGTGATTCAGTCTCTGTGTGTCCCCATGGGCCCAGGTTAGTTTACTCTGTTTGCCTTCTTATGGTGTCCTTAACCCCTCCAGCTCCCTCTATCCTCCCTCCCACTCTTCCACAGAACTCCCTGAGCTTCACCTATTGTTTGGATGTGGGTCTCTGCCTCTGTTTCCATCAGCTGCTGGATGAAGCCTCTCAGAAGACCGTTATGCTAGGCTCTGTCTGTAAGCATAACAAAATATCATTAGTAGTGACAGGGGTTGGCTCTCTCCTATGGTGTACTCTGTTTTTTAAATTGGATTATCTGGATTGTTAATGGCTAGTTTCTTGAGTTCTTTATATATTTTGGATATTGAGCCTTGTCTGTCAGATTCAGAGTTGGTGAAGATTTTTTGCTGTTCTGTAGGCTGCTGCTTTGTCTTATTGACAGTTTCGTTTGCCATACAGAAGTTTTTCAGTTTCACAGGGTCTCTTTTATTAATCGTTGATCTTACTGAACTATTGCTATTCTGTTCAGAAAATTGTCTCCTGTACCAATCTGCACTCAAGACTATTCCACACTTTCTCTTCTATCAGGTTAGTATATATGGTTTTGTACTTAGGTATTTGATCCAACTTGGACTTGAGTTTTCTAAAGAGTGATAGATATGGATCTATTTGAATTCTTCTACATGCCAACATATAGTTTAGATCATTTGTTGAAGATACTTTCTTTTTTTCCATTGTATAGTTCTGGTATCTTTATATAAAATCAGGTTTCCATAGCTGTGTGGATTTACGTCTAGGTCTTCAATTCAATTGGATACACTTGATAAACCTGTCTGTTTTTATGCTAATACCATGTTTGTTTGTTTTTTAATTACCATAGAGTACTACAGCTTGAAATCAGGGATGATGATAGGTATGGAAGTTCTTTTATTGTACAGGACTGTTTTAGCTATTCTAAAATTTCTGTTTTCCCATATGAAATTGAGTATTGTTCTTTCAAGCTCTGTAAAGAATTGTTGGAATTTTTATGGGTATTGCATTGAATCTGTAGGTTGCTCTTGGTAAGATGGCCATTTATACTATGTTAATACTACTGATCCATGAGTGTAGGATATCTTTCCATCTGCTGATATCTCCTCCAAGTTTTCTCAAAGACTTTAAGTTCCTGTCATACAAGTCCTTCATTTTCTTGGTTAAAGTTATTTGTGGCTATTGTGAAGGGTGTAGTTTCCCTACTTTCTTCCTCACCTCTGTTGTCATTTGTGTATAGGAGAGCTACTGATGTCTTTTGAGTTACTTTTGTATTCACCAGCTTTGCTGAAGGTGTTTATCAGTTGTAAAAATCC